GCTACCTTTCTCCCGTCCTGTGCACGGAAGAAAATTTACTTTCCAGAGAGATAACGACCCTGGACACGGATCTAAAAGGGGCGCGCGAGTGGTTGACTCATCGGGAAATTCGATGCCTTGACTCACCCAGCCAGCCCCCTGACTTAAACATCAGTGGACCCTCGTGGTAAGAACTCAAGAAGGGGATAGCCGACAAAACGGTCACAAATGCTGCTCAGGAGTTTGGCCTATTTGAAGAAGAATAGAAGGAAATCGATAAGTGCCTGATCGACATCTTGGTCGAGTTAATGCCCCGCAGATGCCAAGCCGTCATCGATGCCAACGGCTTCACTACAAAGTATTAGACTAGTAGTTAATTAGATTTTAATCTCAATGATAGCGTCCAAGTCAAGTGACTTATTTCAAATTATTGAAACTGATGTTATTTTGTCCTGTTCAGAAAAAATGTGAAAAGTGACCTTTTGAACGAAACAAAAAGGAGTTTCGTGAGTTTTGTGATGGAGACGTTGAAAATCGCCACTGTTAACAACATAACAAAAAATCAGTCAAAAACATTGAGTTCGAGATGAGTTATGGCAAAAAAGGTTCAAAACGGTGATTTCTTTTTGAATGGTACCTGCTGAAGCGAGCAGAGCTGAGACCAAGAACAGAAGAAAACACGACCTGCGCACTTTTCAAGACTTCAGAGATTACTCGGTTTTCATTATGAAAATAAAGGGTGACGACGACATACCAGCACTAAGCAATCTGTCAAAGGAAGTCTTCAAGCCTCTTTCTAACAGATCTATCCGAGAATAAAAACTCAGCAGCTTTGAAAAAAGACCTGCATATCGTTCTGAGCATTTTGAGGTAATGGTCACCTCAAGAAACACGATCGATATTAGTTGCGATGTTAATTTTGTTATTGTATTTTAAGTTTCCTGATTGTCGGACCGGAGATTTATCTTAAATAATCCGCAATTTTGAATGACTTCGGACTTTCCGCATTGTTGTTCAAAGAAACTGTGAAACAATGAAGTCATTACACGTTACCTAATTTACCTTAAAGTGCAAATGTGTTAACCTGCATCGGTACTTTCTGATATGTTGAGCGAGGATGTGGAAATCAATCAGACTCTTTAGTTCAGTGAAGTGCACATAATAATAGCCATTCTTCCATTTGGGCTTGAAAGCTTTAATTATTGAAAAGCACAGCATTATCTATCCAGAGGCTCAATTACAAGTCTACCCAATACTTAAATCCCTGAGAATCGTGTTCGGGAGCAATGAAATCAAAAGTCAATGCTGATAAGCTCACAGTTGATGTGTTCCACTTCGGGTGAGTGAGTGATTCATTGCTTTCTCGGCCGAATAAATTGTAGCGCTACAATAAGTTCACACTAGGTAGTTAGAAGATATTCATAACGATGTAATCGTTTTACTATGTGTACTCATGCCTCATATGGTGGCTCTTTAAAATATTATAGCTAGACTGCACCATAATATCATTGAAGGGCTCCCTAGAAACTCAAAGAAGCGGATATCCCAAGAACGTTTTTCTTCACGAGACCTGTTTTCGTCTGATAAACTGACTGCTGAAATTGAACGATTTTACAAAAGACAAAGGTTTATGATGCACTAGCAAGTGCCCACGTATGAAGAAAGTCTTGATGGTGAAAGGTGCAGCAACACTATAACAGCCCCACCAGGAGTTTTAGACGAAGAAAATAAGACTGTGTATCAAAATCTCCATGCTATGAAGTGACTGTGCACAGTAGTCCACTACTTCGTGTTCAACGCACACTCTGCAGATTGCGGATCGCTCAAAAGCTGTGCACGGTACTATATTCGAAAAAAGGATTGTTTTGATAACCTTCATGACAAAATTTATACGAATTCTGTTAAAAACAAAAAACAAACAAAACAAAAAAGTTTGATATGTCATACTTCCAAGAAGTCGGACTTCTTCGAAGCAGTGTATTCTGTATGAAGAACCATAAGATAGGCCTACTCATGAGGAATTCAAATAAATAGATATTATCATATTTTTTCGAATTTCTGGCACTACTTTTGCGGTAGTTTCCGTGCAGCTGATACGTTATCTGCGGATATAACCCATCGTGAACCCTTCTCTCCGATTAGAAACTTTGTTCTTAGTCTGCAGTAAGCATGGATGGCACTACGTTTCAAGGTAACAAAAATTTTTGGTACTCCTTGTGGAAGTTTTTAAGAATTTTCTATTTGATATTTGTTTCAATTGATTAGTTTCCCCAATTCTGATCAATTTATTATCCCACTCCCACCTTTGATCGACTATAGTGTGAACTTAGAAAAGGTGTACGGCGAGAAGTCTCAGTTGATAAACGAAAAAGGGTGGATAGTCAGCTGAGACCGCTCGTTTGAAGGTCAGGGAGATCGCTAGCAGGCCGATTCTTATTAGAATCGAGATTTCATGGGGCTCCTGTTGACATATTGCTTTACAACAATCGTTGTGGTTTGTCATGAATCTGAGCTGAACTCTGAGCTGTTGGTTGGATCATCTCCCACTTTACCGTTGAGCTGATCGACACAGCACGATCGATATCTACTGTCCCACGACCTTCGTTATTATCCGTTTAGAAGCACGCCTGATGCCCTAGAAAATTTGACGTGCAGAATCCCCTTCCCCAAGCCACGTTGGACACGCTATAGAAACAACATGGCTTCAAAACTCTTTCAGCCACAGTTCTTTATTTTTGGTTTTCACTTTCATTTTCAGGATTTCACCTTCAATGGGTGGTTTTTGAGCCACATGAACGCTATTGCGCTATGATTTGACTGAAGAATACCTTGCATTTATGTTCAACAATCACCTGCATCACCTATCGTCCCGGTGATTATCGACTTCCTGGAGCGGGCGCCAGTAACGTCTACATTCCTCCCTTTCACGGGCTTGAGTGATCCAGTGGGTCGTCCTTGCTTCAGGGACATGAGGTCCGAAATCCCTTCCGTTCAGAGCTTCCGTGAAGAAGTCTGACCTTCCCGTTGGCGGCCGTCTTGGAGTTTGTTTGACGTCGCAAGGGATATAGTCAGTCCGCCGTGGTCCAGCGGTCATCACTATGTCGCATAACGTGTCCAGCCCACCTGATCTTCGATTTCCCGGCGTAATCAACGGCATTCCTGATCTTTCTTCGATGACGGAGCTCAGAACTCCGGATCCCCTCCTGCACTTGATTGTATAGGGAAAGTCCGAGCATCGTCTTTTCCGGTTGTCTTCTTCACTACTCCCTCGATATTCTTGAATGCTCCCCATGCGTCGCACTTCCTTCTGCACAACTCTGAAGCTAGGTCGTTCATCAACTGTTAACTTGTCGACCTAGATACACATAGCTAGCACATTCGATGATATTCGTTCCATTTAACGTGAAGGGAGCATCAGGTACCGATCCGTTTTTAATGAACATCTTCTTCGTTAAATGCAGTCTCAAGATGATATTTCCACAAGCACTGTCAAACTCGGTCAGGATTCGTTCCGCCTGCTCCATGTTCGGTGTTATAAACATGATGTCGTCTGCAAAGCCGAGGTGACGCAGATAGCCGCCGTCATCCTTCACTCCCGAGTCTTCCCATCCCAAATGACGCATGATATTCTCGAGAGCGGCACTGAAATGTTTGGGCGATATGGTATCGCCCTGCCGAACACCTCTCTTCACACTGATAATGACTACCTTGCAGAATGGCGATATCCTAGTCGTGAAGTTGTCGTAGAGCTCACAAAGCATCCTTATATATTGAGTAGGAAACCCACAGTTGCTTTGCGAATACTCTTTCCGCCGAGGCCGGAAAGAGCATTCGCAAAGCCCGACGGAGCTTCGCCAATTACAAGACCAAGATGACCTCCCTTCGTCGTCCTGACGGAACAGTTACTGCATCCCGAAGGGCAATGGAGGAGGTCATCTACGACGTCTACTCGGATCTCTTCGACAGCTACGTCTACATGCATACCCACAATCTTAGGCAAGACGAATATATCGCGTCTTCGGTTCTCCTTTCCGAAATACGACATGAGGAACTGTACGGCGTGCGGTCCCCATAGTACCAAACCAGAACATCTGAAGAGTCTTCCACCAGTTATCGTCACAACTCTTGCTAGGCTCTTCACGCGGCACCTGTCGGAATGCAAAGTGCCCACGTCGTGGAAAACTGGCAAGTCTGTGTTGCTGTACGAAAAGGGAGGTCTAGACGATATTGGCAATTATCGCCCAATCTGCCTGCTGTCTGTAATCTATAAGCTTTTCACTCGCGTCATCCTGAACAGGATTAGCAGAATATTAGATGAAGGACACCCATGCGAGCAAGCAGGGTTTCGGAGAGGGGTCAGCACAATCGATCATATCCACACTCTTACAAGGCTCATTGAAGTATCGCGAGAGTACAAATTGCCGTTATGTTTTACGTTCATCGATTTGATGAGAGCCTTTGACACTGTCGAGACAGAAGCGGTAATCGAAGCCCTGGGCAACCAGTGTATTCCTACTCAATATATAAGGATGCTTCGTGAGCTCTACAACAACTTTACGACCAGGACCTCACCATTCTACAAGGAAGTCATTATCAGAGGTGTCTGGCAGGGCGATACCATATCGCCCAAACTTTTCATTGCCGCTCTCGAGTATATCATGCGTCATTTGGAATGGGAAGACTTGGTAGTGAAGGTCGACGGCTGCACATCACCTCCGTTTTGCACATGACATCGTGCTTATAACACCGAACATCGAGCAGGCGGAACGAATGGTGGCCGACTTTGGCAGTGCTTGTGGAAAGATCGGCTCGAGTCTGAATTTAACGAAGACGATGTTCATGAAAAACGGATTGGTACCTGATGCTCCCTTCACGTTAAATGGAACGAATATCTCCGAATGCGCTAGCTATGTGTATCTAGGTCGACAAGTTAACATGATGAGCGACCTAGCTTCAGAGCTGTGCAGAAGGAAGCGCGACGCATGGGAAGCATTTAAGAATATCGAGGGAGTAGTGAAGAAGACAAAGAACATCCAGCCCGGCGCTCATCTTTTCGACACTGCTGCCCTTTCTGCTTTGACGAGCGCCTCGGCGACTTGGACTCTACGAAAGCAGGATGGAAATGCTGTCAGCGTTTCTCAACGCACTTTGGCAAGGACGATGCTCGGAATTACCCTATACACACAAGTGCAGAAGAGAATCCGAAGTTCCGAGCTCCGTCAACGAACGAAGATCAGGGATGCCGTTGATTACGCCAAGAAATCGAAAATCAAGTGGGCCGGACACGTTATGCGATACAGTGATGACAGTTGGACCAGGGCGGTTACTGACTGGATCCCTCGGGGCATCAAACGAACTCCAGGACGGCCGCCAACGAGATGGTCAAACTTTTCACGAAAGCTCTGAACGAAAGGAATGTTGGTCCTCGTGTTTCAAAAGCGATTCATTGGACCACTCAGGCTCGTTTAAGGGAGGAATGGAGACGATACTGGCGCCCGCTCGAGGAAATCGACGATCAACGGGAAGGCAGGTGTTACAGGTGATACTTGCAGCTCGCGCGATCCCACGCCGGCGTATCAGCTAGAGTGTCTTCGAGGAGAGCCGTCTCGTTGCTACTTGTAGACTCTCTGCTTTCCTAGCACTACCGTGAAGATATTTGACGAGTCGCTTGTATTCTTCTTTGGAGTGATCCTAATTGATGGAGGTCCTGGGGCTTCGTTTCCTAAACTTCATAGCTCTCTCTCCACGCACTGCAAAGCAGAATCTAGCGCAGAGGATACGATGGTCCGATCCCGTGTAGAACTTCGAAACAACAGCGACGTCAGTCAGGCAAAATCTCGGATTGAAAATGATGTTGTTTATTTCATTATGAAACTGTCCACCGGGTGACTCCCATGTATATCGCAAATGAGAGAGCTTCTGGAACTGCGAGTCGCCATGGATGGTGTGGGTCGACATGATAAACTCGGACAGCCCTTCACCCTGCTCATTTCATTCCATTCCATGTGGAGCTCTTCAGCCGTTCTTCCGGGGCCAATCTCGGCTTGAATCACCGACGAAGACCTTGAAGAATGTATGGTCTTCTCTGTGAAGCTTCTCCAGATCCATGTAGAACACTTCCAACTCTTCCTTTCGAAGCTTGATTTTGGTACGTGGGCGACGAAGATGGTTAGAGCTGTGGTTGAGCCACATCTTCTCAATCGGCTTTCGTACAAATCGATGTTCATGGCCAAGTGCGTGTTTACGAGGACCCCTACGCCGCTGACGCCTCTACTTCAAAGAACTGTCCTTCCTCAGCCCCAAATACAGCGTGTAGCGGGTGATGCCTTCTCGTCGCGGTCAGTCCGATGACGTCGCACTTGATCTCCCTAATCTGATCTTCTCTACACGCTCCCGGTGCAAGCGCCCGTGCGTTGAAAGTAGAAAGATCGCCATCTCATTCCTTCTCTTCTTGAGCAGCCTGTTTCGGTACTGAAATTTTAGCAGCCTCTCCCGAGCGGTCCTACCCAACGCTGCTATTGGGGGCTCCTCAGGCTCAGGAGAATGAAGCCCATTTGCATTATCGTTTTGGCGAGTGGATACCCAGCACGTAGCCTGCCAGGCTGACGTGGAGGCTTGGTTAACGCCGGGGTTTTCCAGGCTATCCCGAAACTTGGAAGAAGGGCTTTGTTTTTGGAGGCGGCCCCAAATCAGCTCCCAGATACTTTCCAGTCACTTGCATGCAAGCTTTCGACTGAGCCGATGGGCAGGATATCATCTGCACCCACAGACTCTCTGCACACATATGCGTGGATATGCCTGCGAGGAACAGAGTGTATATCGATTAGCACAGCAAAATCAAGGAGTCCATCCTCTGAATCCATGTGCGTCTCTGAGCAAGTATTGGAGACTTTTGTTCAACGTTATCAGAGAAATGTTGTTCAACATTATCAGGAAATATTATGCTTAGTATATGTATGCTAAGACTACAGTATGTAGAAACGTTAGTAAAGCTCGGGACGAGAACCCAAGAAAGCTTTTTAGCTAAGATATGAATTGCCTTATTATATTAAGGTTGTCCCAAAATTATTTGCGCTCAAATTCAGAAATTTCTAAGGTGGGACTAACTTATCAAATTCACATTACCTGTAATTGGTTGCATTAGGTTTTCTTGCAAAATGCATGGTTACTGATGTAAAACACTCAATATCTTTCAGATGAAGGAGGCTCATTCGATGCCACTCATTTATTTATTTATCTATTTATTTATTTATCATATACGCCATATGAGACAGTGTTGAAAATGAAAATATAAACAACGACAGCAACACAAAACATTGCGATAGAACAACTAAATCTGAGGAAAAAGGTGGCAGCTGTGCTTGTAAAATATTTTTGCCAACTGCCCGTTTGGAGGAGCTGAGAGAGCCTTGGATGCTAGGAGCCTTGCCGTTTGCAAGTATGCAAGACCAGCCCTTACGACGAAAAAAATACTTCTTATGGTTGTTTTGGGCTTAGAAAAGGACGATTTGAGCTGACTAATCTTTGTTTTGGAAGGAACCAATGAGTAGAAATCCGAAAAATTAACCGCGGTTTTGCCTGTCAGCAAGTTATGTATCATGCACAAGTCAAAGAGCCTGCGCATAGACTCTAGTGGAGGAATATTGAAATATTTGCTTCTAATTACGGCCTTAGGGATTTTCGAGTTTAGAAAACCTCCGAAAAAATTTTCCGGGTGAAATTGTTCTGAACCCTTTCCAGCAACATAATGTTCTTCTTTTTATTGGCGCAGAAAACTAAAGTACTGCTTCCCACGAGTGAACGGACTTAGGACTTATGTGCGTGAACAAGAACATTTGTATCCCTTGTGGTGAGCGCCTTCAAGATCTGGTACGTGCGGTAAGGAGCAATACTCTGGATATGGCTACGATGAGACGAGAAGTGGAGTTTGTCATTGTAATAGAAGCCCAAATCCTTGACCTCTCTCGCTTTCTTGATCTCAACACCTTCCATGAAGTAAGAGGCACTACCAGGGTAGCAACCTACACGCACATGAAGCGTCTTAGCATAGGAGAGAGGGAGTTGCCACTCTTCAGACCACTGAATTAGTCCATCAATTGCAGCCTCTAAATCAAGAGAATCCCTGAAAGTGCTTATGACTTTATAGATTTTTAAGTCATCACCATTTTGTCTACAATCGACATTAAACAGGATAAGCAGCATCCCAGGTCAGCCGAATTAATACTAAACAGTATTGGTGACAATACTTCACCTTGTGGAACACCACCTTGACATTTGGATACATCAGAGTAAGCAGAGTTTATACGCACTTGGAAGGTTCTGCCACTAAGAAACTCCTGTATCCATCTGCAAACTTTATCATGGAATCCCAGCAACTGCTGCTCATGCAACAGCTTCTTGTGACTGACTTTAACAAATGCCTTTGCGAAATCGAAATATATTACGTCCACACTCTGCTTATTATCTAAGGCCATCGACCAATCATTGAGCGATTCTGTTCGTAGTTACTGACTTTCCCTTCACAAAACCATGTTGTTAGGCCGGTACTATGTTGTTCTGAGTTGAATACTAGATAATGCGAGCTTTGAAAATTTCTTCGAAATGTCTTGAAAACATAGATGTAATGCTTACTGACCTGTACTTGGAAATGTCTGAAGAAGGTTCACTACGATGTTGCCTTTTGAACCAAGTTTCAGAAAACAAGTACACACCGTACTTATCACATAAAACAATATCAAAACAGGAGCAATTTTCTGAGAAC